TGAGGGAACCCCTGGCTGGTGAGGGTGGGCATGGGCCTCTGTCCTGGATGTGCCTGGGTATGCAGAATATAGGTAGCAGGAGGCCCGCTGCAGGGCAGTTTCCTCTCCCATGCCAGCCGCTGGCACAGTGGAAGCTGAGTCCACGTACTCATTTATTTTGATGGCAAAAGCCATTTCTGCTGCCACGGTCTCTCCCCTGATTGTGTCTGCTTTGTCCTTCCTTCTTCTTGTGAAGCTGCTCTGGCTCATATGTACTCCACTTTTTTCCCCCTATATTTTGGCTGTGCCATGCGGCATGGGTGAACCCATGCTCCCTGCAGTGGAAGTGCAATGTCTTAACCAATGGACCACCAGGCACGTCCCTACCCATTATTTTGTCTTGCAATTTAGCCTCCAACTGTATTTATAATTAATTACATAATTCCATTTCCATAACATTATATAACACACTGTCTTATCCTACTCCACATGCCGGGGAATGATATTAAAACAATAAAATAATTATGGCTAAAATTCATTGGTATCTTAGTTAGAACATTTAGTTCTAACCATCACAGGATAGCCAAATGTATGAAAAAACTTACAAGAGTAAATCTGTGGGCATGAAATTTATTTGTAGTCTTACTTGGAATTGTGCCACTAATTAGGATATAATCAAGTATGTGGTAAAAATTTGCTGAATAAATGAATGCATGAGTCACTTATGTTCTCTTTTACTTTCACATGGGATGTGAAATCATTAGGGATGATTATATATTTGCATATGTATCTATATAAGTTTATAGAAATATATATAATTTCCAAATGGGATTGTAATACAGTTCTAATCAATGTGAAAACAACTGAATGTTCTCCTGACAGTAAATTAAATTCTGGAAGTGCTTCACTAATAAAACTGTCTCTCTACACAGCCATCTCGAATATTCAAATGTAAAAAGTAAGTTTAACATGATATTAGGAATAAAGTAATACTGGATACAAATATTTAGTGAAAGGAAGGAAGATGGCTTAGCTATAAACAGTAAATAAAGAGATTTGCTATGCAATAAAAATCAAACGTCTAAATATGAGAGTAACACATTTGGAAAAGAATGGCCAAAAACAACAAAGATCTGTCTTTACCCTTAACATGATGTAGGCTTCAAATCCATGGGAAAGAAGGCTCAGCAATTCTAAGATTCCCTAAAGAAGTGCTTCAAACTTCTCAGAATAGTATGAAAAGAAAAACATTCAGCCTATATTTGGATCCTTGGGTTTGGGATCACTGCCAGGGTCAGAGGGCTCCATGGAAAATATATTTCAAAAATGAGTCCATATTGGTCAGCCCCCTCCTTCCATTAGGGGAAGATATTAATTCAGTGAACACTTTGCTTCTTCTCAGAGCAGCTCTTGGTTTAAAAGCCACTCAACCTATTGGTTTAATGCTCAATTAAAAAATGCAACGTCCCTTTTTCTTAGAACATTTTTCATAGTTCTGGTTTACTTATGATGAAGTCAGTAGACTGAAATCTGGGGAAATGGAACAGGCTTCACAAGGAATGAAACTGATGATGATTATGTGTGAAATTCCCTTTTAAAGGAAAAGTAGAGTAAAACTAAGCAACAGTAATCTAGTAGGTAGTTTGCATCTGGCTGCCTAACTCTATCTCCAGCTAAAGGACATGGACATGAAAAAATCCAATATGCAGAATGTGGTAATATGAAAAATAATGGGAATTACCCATATATACTTTCCAAATCCTTCTCACTGGCAAGTGTTTTTTAGGTATAGAGTTAACAGAACTGTTAGCCATTGTACTACTATAGCAAAGTGAAAGCTGTGGGGTTTTATTCTCTCATTACATACCCCCTGGAAGGGCCAAAGATGATACTCAGCTGTTATTTTTCAAAGGTTGTCATAAATCGGTCTTACCTGCAGAATCCACAGGGAGGTAAACATATTTGAGATTAGACAGGAACGGCCTTTTCAATGTTTGTGTGTGTGTGTGACTGTTCTGCATCTTTGTAACCAAATTCTTGCTTTATTTTTTTGCCTTGTTTTAAATCATCAGGACAAGCATTAGCACCTGTGAGTTCCTGACTTACTGTTAATGCCTGTGGTACTTTACACTATGTGACCCAACATACAGGGTGAAGTTAGACTGGGCTGGTTTATTTCTTTGTTTCTGACCGTGCTGGGTCTTCGTTGCTGAGCACAGGCTTTCTCTCGCTGCGGACAGCAGGCTTCTCGATGCGGCGGCTTCTCTCCCGGCGCACGGGCTCCAGGGCGCATGGGCTCGGTAGCTGTGGCACACCGGTTCATTTGCCCCTGGCACATGGCGTCTTCCTGGACCAGGGACTGAACGTGTGTTCCCTGCGCTGGCAGGTGGATGCTCAACCACTGGGCCACCCAGGGAAGTCCTAGATTGTGCCTCTTTTAATTTTGCTCTAAGCAAAGATACCTTGTTTCCCAGGGAGTAGATGAAATTTGACTGGAGGTGGCATAGGGTTTAGTACAGGATTTGGTATAGAGCTGCTGTTGGCAGATTTTCCCAGTTGGTGAAGTAAAGCTACATGCATTCAATGGGCCTAAAATTAAATGCCAGGTGTGTACATTTCAAAAATATGTATTCAGTGAGTGGATGAGTCGCATGTCATTTATTTCCAGGTGCCCTGTGGTATTCACGACAAGAAGCTGCAGCTGGTTCAGTGTTTGCCTACTAGTGTGATACCAGTTCATCTACAAACACCCAGAATATCTTTTCTGTGCATTATTTATAAAGCAGTGCTTGAAGGGGATAAAAGGGACACAAGCCAACACACAGGGAAACAGAGAGTGAAAGAAACTAGTGGTAAAAACATGACCTTCCTCCATAAGGTCAAATAGTTTTATTTCGATTAAACACTACAATACAGTATATATCCATTAAAAAAAGAAAACTCTATTGTGTATATAAATTATTCCTTCCATTCATCAATTCTTTTCTTTTCCATTACAGCTTTGGTACAATGTGATTTCAGTATATAATTTTTTTTTTTACGACTGCTGGGGCAGTCCTTGAGAACCCTGGGTCATTGGCACCTGAGCAAAGACACAAGACACGTTCCTGTGTGAGGAGGTCATTCCGGGGTGTCCCGGAAGCTACAGTGGTGTCATCAAAAACAGTCACTCTTTGGGGTTCGGGTCCCAGCTGTTTCACACTTGGCAGACCATCTGACCGCTCTGATTTTCTGATTCCACGTGCATAATGACCCCGCCTTCAAAGTGGCCCTGACAGAGCTGCAGGAGGCCGCAACAGCACTTGGGCCATGTCTGGCGAGAAGTAGATGCTCAGCAAGTGTCAGCTGTGAGCCTCTTTCCTTCCCCTTTCCTGGCTCTCCAGGGACTGCTGTCTGGACCACCCCCCTCTCTGATTTCTATTTTGGAAAGCCATGCTCCCATTCTGGTTTTATGCCAAGTGGCCTGGAGCCACTGATAATAAAAGAGGCTCTTGTCCCAGGAACCTACCTCACTCTCAACTTGCAACTTTCGAGAACATTCCTTATTGAGCTGGTGGTAGAGACGGATGCAACGTGAACAAGGGTGGTCAAGGCAGGAAGAGTGAGGATAGGGTCTCTAGGGCCAGAGGTACTTGGTGCAGCTGAACTGAATGATTAACGTATTTCACCAACCTTTCACTTTCCCTCTTAGTGAATTTCAGAATATACATTACTGAAGGGCATGTGACACTTTAAATACTCAATGTGAGTTTAGTCTGGAAAGTGCAACTGTCAGGTCCAATAAATACCCTTTAGATCAATCTGAGATGCCATTTTAAAATGCTTTATAAGGTAAATTTGTGGTGAAATGAAGTTTCTTTGGGTGTGATCAAAACAAACAAAAATTTGTCACAAGGACTTTCTCTCATTAAGAACCATTTCAACAGAATGTCCAGAGGTCTTCATGATAGTGTTTTTTAGGTATAGAGTTAACAGAACTGTTAGCCATTGTACTACTATAGCAAAGTGAAAGCTGTGGGGTTTTATTCTCTCATTACATACCCCCTGGAAGGGCCAAAGATGATACTCAGCTGTTATTTTTCAAAGGTTGTCATAAATCGGTCTTACCTGCAGAATCCACAGGGAGGTAAACATTTTTGAGATTAGACAGGAACGGCCTTTTCAATGTTTGTGTGTGTGTGTGACTGTTCTGCATCTTTGTAACCAAATTCTTGCTTTATTTTTTTGCCTTGTTTTAAATCATCAGGACAAGCATTAGCACCTGTGAGTTCCTGACTTACTGTTAATGCCTGTGGTACTTTACACTATGTGACCCAACATACAGGGTGAAGTTAGACTGGGCTGGTTTATTTCTTTGTTTCTGACCGTGCTGGGTTTTCGTTGCTGAGCACAGGCTTTCTCTCGCTGCGGAGAGCAGGCTTCTTGATGCGGCGGCTTCTTTCCCGGCGCACGGGCTCCAGGGCGCGTGGGCTCGGTAGCTGTGGCACACGGGTTCATTTGCCCCTGGCACGTGGCGTCTTCCTGGACCAGGGACTGAACGTGTGTTCCCTGTGTTTGCAGGTGGATGCTCAACCACTGGGCCACCCAGGGAAGTCCTAGATTGTGCCTCTTTTAATTTTGCTCTAAGCAAAGATACTTTGTTTCCCAGGGAGTAGATGAAATTTGAGTGGAGGTGGCATAGGGTTTAGTACAGGATTTGGTATAGAGCTGCTGTTGGCAGATTTTCCCAGTTGGTGAAGTAAAGCTACATGCATTCAATGGGCCTAAAATTAAATGCCAGGTGTGTACATTTCAAAAATATGTATTCAGTGAGTGGATGAGTCGCATGTCATTTATTTCCAGGTGCCCTGTGGTATTCACGACAAGAAGCTGCAGCTGGTTCAGTGTTTGCCTACTAGTGTGATACCAGTTCATCTACAGACACCCAGAATATCTTTTCTGTGCATTATTTATAAAGCAGTGCTTGAAGGGGATAAAAGGGACACAAGCCAACACACAGGGAAACAGAGAGTGAAAGAAACTGGTGGTAAAAACATGACCTTCCTCCATAAGGTCAAATAGTTTTATTTCGATTAAACACTACAATACAGTATATATCCATTAAAAAAAGAAAACTCTATTGTGTATATAAATTATTCCTTCCATTCATCAATTCTTTTCTTTTCCATTACAGCTTTGGTACAATGTGATTTCAGTATATAATTTTTTTTTTAAATACTTCTTAGCATCACAAACTCAACACAAAGTACAAAACTAATAATCCAAATTAGGGATAGTATTGTCTACACAGTGGTATTCAGTGGTAGGAGAAAATCTTACCTTGATGAATTCATGTCACTAGCTAAGCTAGAAAGGCATACCTAGCGGACATGACGGAAATATGCACCATTAACCAGCTAACGTGTGGATTAGTCTTTTTTTTTTTACAGAATACCAGCAGCAGTCATTGGGGTGTGGAGTGAAGACTTCAGCCCTCAGCCAGCCTCCCTGCCTGGCTCCTGCTCCCGCAGAGGGCCGCGGTGGCGCCGGAGGACGCGGGCCCGGCCGGCGCTCAGAACCTGACCTGCCACCCGGCGTTGCTCACGCTGGCACAGTTGGTCCTGCAGCTGGCCGACGCCGCGGGGAGAGCGCTCGAGGGGCAGTGCGGGCCCACCAGCCTCAGGCTGCTCTGAGGGGCCGGCGGGGTGACGCTACAGTACACGGGCATTCCAGCGGCCGGGAGGGAGCCTTGGCCTGCCTGGGTAGGGAGCATGAGTGGCTGTTGGTACGACTGCTGGGGCAGTCCTTGAGAACCCTGGGTCATTGGCACCTGAGCAAAGACACAAGACACGTTCCTGTGTGAGGAGGTCATTCCGGGGTGCCCCGGAAGCTACAGTGGTGTCATCAAAAACAGTCACTCTTTGGGGTTCGGGTCTCAGCTGTTTCACACTTGGCAGACCGTTTGACCGCTCTGATTTTCTGATTCCACGTGCATAATGACACCGCCTTCAAAGTGGCCCCTGACAGAGCTGCAGGAGGCCGCAACAGCACTTGGGCCATGTCTGGCGAGAAGTAGATGCTCAGCAAGTGTTAGCTGTGAGCCTCTTTCCTTCCCCTTTCCTGGCTCTCCAGGGACTGCTGTCTGGACCACCCCCTCTCTGGATTTCTGTTTTGGAAAGCCATGCTCCCATTCTGGTTTTATGCCAAGTGGCCTGGAGCCACTGATAATAAAAGAGGCTCTTGTCCCAGGAACCTACCTCACTCTCAACTTGCAACTTTCGAGAACATTTCTTATTCAGCTGGTGGTAGAGATGGATGCAACGTGAACAAGGATGGTCAAGGCAGGAAGACCGAGGATAGGGTCTCTAGGGCCAGAGGTACTTGGTGCAGCTGAACTGAATGATTAACGTATTTCACCAACCTTTCACTTTCCCTCTTAGTGAATTTCAGAATATACATTACTGAAGGGCATGTGACACTTTAAATACTCAATGTGAGTTTAGTCTGGAAAGTGCAACTGTCAGGTCCAATAAATACCCTTTAGATCAATCTGAGATGCCATTTTAAAATGTAAATTTGTGGTGAAATGACGTTTCTTTGGGTGTGATCAAAACAAACAAAAATTTGTCACAAGGACTTTCTCTCATTAAGAACCATTTCAACAGAATGTCCAGAGGTCTTCATGAACAGAACTCAAAAGCATTTTCCTTCATGAATAGAAAGCTTATACAGATCCAGACTTCGAAGGGCATTCAAAAGCCATTTTTTTATGGAAATGTACATTTTCAGGTTTTTACTTGTCTAGTATAATCTTGACTCCAAGTCAACCACCAACACAACTGCACCTAGCACCCCCTGCCACCTACCACCCATCTGAGACGGGGACACACTCACAGCCTGTGCTGTGGCAAGTTCTGCTTTTCCAAGCACTGTTTCCCAAGCTCTGGACACGCACCTGATAATTAGACACGGCTGGGTAGGAGACCATCACGCTCTGCACTGGAGTTCCCTGCTGGCTGCTCATCACGCCCTGACTCTGAGCTGGCTGCTGCACCCCCATGAGGCCTTGGAACCCCTGCTGACCAGACAAGACTGGCTGGTAACCTGCGAAGAGGAAACATCTTTTGAACTGGTTGTACCGAGGAGAACGAAGATGAAATTGCATGGGGTAAGATAACTTCTTCACCAGCCAACCTGAAGACCTTTCACTGTCTGTGTTAGGAATGCTTATTTCCTAACGATGCACGTTATGCTTCTCAAGAGTGGATGAGGGCATGACTCCAAAAAATTCACTGGTATCTCCACCCAAGGGTTAGTGTTGTAGTAGTGGTACCTTCTTCCTGACACAAAGATGGGCACCTCTATTGATGCGGGTTGACTGCTGCAAATTATACCTTTCAGATCTGTCTTTTGCTCTGGTTTCAATGATACTTGGACAAGTCACAAATTATCAAGTTTTTCTTCATTAAACTGACTCATTTTCTTACCCTCTGACTTTCCTGCACTACCTCATTTCACAAAGAGATCACCATACAGCCTGTTAACTTGGGACACATTCTATTTTCCATGCACAAGAAGACTCGCAACTCTACCTAATTCAATATTCGCTGACTCGGACAAAGGCAACAACCGCAGGTATGTCAAACTTTATTCTGTTCCACTACTAGCCTCCAAGAGAACGTTCTGGCAAAATACTCCCGTAAGAGACCATGTACGTATCATAGATTATACAGAATACAAAATTTAAAGAATGTGTTTGCTGGTGTCCTTCCAGGCGGGCCAGCTGGTAGGGTTTCTTTTCTTTCTAAAGGGACCGGAATTTATTCTAATTATTTTAACCCCTACTACAAGATGTGGTTTAAAATGCGTTCTTAAAGCAAGGCTGTCAACTATTCTTATAAATATTGGAAAGAAAGTTATGATGTTGGTGAAGATGGCAGGGTGACAGAGAAATAAAACAGCTTCACTTCATGCTGTAAAATAAGGTCCTTCCAGAGCTCCTGTTATTAAGCGTACTGAAACCAGGCCAATTGCTGTCTTAACACACTTCTCTGGGAGANCACTACAATATTGTAAAGTAATTAACCTCCAACTAATAAAAATAAATGAAAAAAAATTGAAACGAAGGGTAAAGAATTCCTAATCAGTGCCCATTGTTTATAAATAGCCTTTCTTTTGAGTGTATTTGAGAGTTTTAATTGAGAAAGGATGAAATTACAGTAGCGTCTTTACAATAGACAACACTTGCCAATCCTGTGTTTGGCAAAAAATGTTTTCATTCACCTTAGAAATACTGGAGAAGTGTATCTTGCCAACAGTCACTAAGTTAAGAGATCAGCTCTATTCATCAAATGAGATGAAAATGAAGTGGAGTTATGGACACCCAAGACAGCAAACTCGGGGACGAGCCGGGTCAGGAGGCCTGGGCGGCGCCTGCACCACCAGCGAGTGGAGCCAGGGCATAATCTGGAAATCATCCTCTGACCTCCTTTTATGTGTCCCATTTTTTAAAATGTTCACATCACTCTGCTTACTCCATCTTAATAGTGGTTTTACTTACTAGGTTATTTTAAATTCTAGTATAGACACTACATACTAAGAATGTAATTGAGGGTTGTGACCACCTTTCCTCCAGTTATTCTGTGTTCATGGGAACACAGTCAAAGCCTCCTTACGTGTGCTTTGCAGGTCTACCGGATCTCAATAACCTCAGCCCAGAGGGTTTATAAATATGGCAAAGTGTTTGAAGTTTATACAATGTGGAAAAATCATCAGACTTGGGAACAAGAAATGTGACTTAAGGCCATGTCACGGTCCTCCCTACCTCCCACAATGCCTCATATGCAGGGAGAAATTTCTTTTAACATTCATTGCCAAACTTTGTTCTCTAGGATTTCCCCCTTTTATTCTTATACCCATTGGCCCTGAAAAAAAGAAAATTCTGTTGCTGTTTTATTATTACTAGGACGTTACTACTAGCCATATCAAATTCACTGTAGCAAGGATTGTTGTTATATATGTTAAAAAAAAAAAAAACTTGGCATGACTGTAGAAAATTCATGGTCACAGCCTTCCTTACCATGTCCTATTTTTATAGCAAAGAGCAAGCAACGTGAACACACTTTCAGGTCTGTGTAATGGTGCTTATTTCTGGCTGAAGAGTCAAAGTACAGGTTGAAAATGAGAGAAATGTCTTTAAAAAAAAAATCAATACTTGGATCTTAGGGTGAAGCCCCGTTGGTCTCAGGGGTACTACTGCAGGATACACATGGCTATGATGGAAACAGAAGGTGGGAAGAAGGGGAGGAGAGGTCGGGTGGCCTCACGTCTAAAGAGGATGCACTTGCTTATTGAATCCTTCCAGCCTTTCCGAGTCATCTTCAGAATGACTCTGTTTCACAGCGTCTGTTCAAACATAAATCGAGATGGCCTATGAAAGATTCATTTATTACATCAGCTCTATAAACCAAAATTGGGGTGAAGGGAAAAATCAGTCTGATGATAATAGAGCTGCTAAGACATGCAGAAAACAGAATGTCTTGGTAGGAAGAGGAAGTAGCTATCAGATAATATTCAAGGAGAGAAAAAGAGTGAGGAGGTTGGGCAGCCTCCTCCCAAGGATGCAGGCCCGGGGTGGGGGTGGGGGGATGCAATTCATCTTTGCTGAGCCCATGGGTGTGGGGACACTGCCGTGGTGTTGCCCTCCCCAAGCCGCTTCTGCCTGATTTGTGAACTTTAGCATCCAGTCATGCATAGCAATGGGCTACCAGCCCTGCCCCAGGATTCCCACAGTCAACACACTTAAGGCAAATAAAGATTTATGTGGGGAGCGAATCACGCCATACAATTTCTAAATGAAAAGTTAAGGAAAGTCCAATTTATATTCATGAACCCCATTCATTTCTCAGTTCGCTCTCCAGGCAAGAAATTCACACCTGGAATGGTTTCATTGGAGGGCCCCACTGCTTTAAGTGATGCTACAGAAGGTAGGCAGCAGAACGGTCCTTGAGACAGGAGACTGTGTGGAATGTGAATTTGAGCTCCGGTCTAGGAATAGACAAACAGAAATGTGATAGCAGTGACCTCAGTGTGAACTAACAGGGTCTGCCTGGGACACCACTCGCCCGAAGGCGAAGATGGTGGAGCTGGCTGGTGGCAGCCTGCTTATCTCGTCTACTCAAATGAGAAGCCTGTTCCCGTTTGTCAGTTCTTAGCTGTGAAATGATCTGTTTTTCATATTTATTGAGGATTAGCCAGATAGAATGCATTGTACAAAACAGAAACAGCAACAGTAGCTGCCCTGGAGGCTTGCTAGGGCGATCGTAAAGACATTAGCTATTTGTATTATTCCTTTTTCAGTTGAGGTTAATTCAATTTTCATGTCACATGCGTCATTTATTTTCTGAAGGTAAAAAGGTCAGGAATGGACAGATGCCTCCTGACCGGTAAAAGAATACCCCTCTGCTAAGATTGAGGAGGTAAAACATGTAAAATGTCTGGATCTTACAGATCTGAAATTTAACATTGTTTTAACTAAAATATGGCAGTTATTGAATACTCCTTGTAGTCTGAGGGTAATTCATTAATATTCTGTCAAGGAAACATTTCGCTTGATGTAGCCTATTTATGAAAAATCAGAATGTAAACTGGAATTACAATTTAGGAATTAAAAATTGCATGATTGATATGGATGTTATTTTAACTCTTATTTGTAAATACATTGTTATATAGCCAACATTTTGGAAATGAATGAATGACAAAGTCATGACCTGTGTTTTTAGGTGTTTGATTCCCTGGCTGTTGTTGGTTATTTATTTTTATAGCAAAGAGCAAGCAACGTGAACACACTTTCAGGTCTGTGTAATGGTGCTTATTTCTGGCTGAAGAGTCAAAGTACAGGTTGAAAATGAGAGAAATGTCTTTAAAAAAAAAATCAATACTTGGATCTTAGGGTGAAGCCCCGTTGGTCTCAGGGGTACTACTGCAGGATACACATGGCTATGATGGAAACAGAAGGTGGGAAGAAGGGGAGGAGAGGTCGGGTGGCCTCACGTCTAAAGAGGATGCACTTGCTTATTGAATCCTTCCAGCCTTTCCGAGTCATCTTCAGAATGACTCTGTTTCACAGCGTCTGTTCAAACATAAATCGAGATGGCCTATGAAAGATTCATTTATTACATCAGCTCTATAAACCAAAATTGGGGTGAAGGGAAAAATCAGTCTGATGATAATAGAGCTGCTAAGACATACAGAAAACAGAATGTCTTGGTAGGAAGAGGAAGTAGCTATCAGATAATATTCAAGGAGAGAAAAAGAGTGAGGAGGTTGGGCAGCCTCCTCCCAAGGATGCAGGCCCGGGGTGGGGGTGGGGGGATGCAATTCATCTTTGCTGAGCCCACGGGTGTGGGGACACTGCCGTGGTGTTGCCCTCCCCAAGCCGCTTCTGCCTGATTTGTGAACTTTAGCATCCAGTCATGCATAGCAATGGGCTACCAGCCCTGCCCCAGGATTCCCACAGTCAACACACTTAAGGCAAATAAAGATTTATGTGGGGAGCGAATCACGCCATACAATTTCTAAATGAAAAGTTAAGGAAAGTCCAATTTATATTCATGAACCCCATTCATTTCTCAGTTCGCTCTCCAGGCAAGAAATTCACACCTGGAATGGTTTCATTGGAGGGCCCCACTGCTTTAAGTGATGCTACAGAAGGTAGGCAGCAGAACGGTCCTTGAGACAGGAGACTGTGTGGAATGTGAATTTGAGCTCCGGTCTAGGAATAGACAAACAGAAATGTGATAGCAGTGACCTCAGTGTGAACTAACAGGGTCTGCCTGGGACACCACTCGCCCGAAGGCGAAGATGGTGGAGCTGGCTGGTGGCAGCCTGCTTATCTCGTCTACTCAAATGAGAAGCCTGTTCCCGTTTGTCAGTTCTTAGCTGTGAAATGATCTGTTTTTCATATTTATTGAGGATTAGCCAGATAGAATGCATTGTACAAAACAGAAACAGCAACAGTAGCTGCCCTGGAGGCTTGCTAGGGCGATCGTAAAGACATTAGCTATTTGTATTATTCCTTTTTCAGTTGAGGTTAATTCAATTTT